CCTGCTGAATAGGGCTGGCTATCTACAAACACTCACAGTCGTTGCCCCTGGTGGGTGTGTGCAAAGTGAGCCAACCACAGGCTGGGGCTGTGTATGGGTGAGGCATATGGATTGGTTGCGCTGTCCATGGTCCAGTTGTGGGGGGATCCGTAGGTGAGGCCTCCCCAGCAGCTCATGAGTAGGCTTCCTAATGGAGTCCCTGAAACAGTAGGATCTGCATCCCTTTGATGCTCCCTGAGAACCCTGGATTCTGTTCTCCCAGCCACTCCCCACCTCCGAGCCATGTAGTATACCTCAGTACTCTGGATGGGGCAAGCAAGAAACGGTCTTCTTTGGCAGGGTCCCTCACAGCTGGGGAAACCGAGCACTCCCTCAAACCCTCTCACCTTCCCCAGTGGAGAAATCATGAGCTAAGAGGGTCTCTCTTGGCCCTGAGCTGTGCTGCCTTTGAGCAAGTGGTGATGTGGCTCAAGCGAAAGTGTCCTTGTTACCCTCTTCAATGCAGCCAATCTTGGAATTTTTTCTTCCTTAGACAATGTGCTAGATCTTCCCCCCTGGACTCTCAGACTTCCACAAAGGCCACTCTGTCAGTAGGTGATTTTCAAAATTGGTGTCCTTTGGGGGGGAAAACAGTAGAAAACTCCTATTCTGCTATTTTGCTCATAGACTGTTGTTTTAATGTTTACCCTGGAACTTTGGATATGCCGTGCTCCCAGAACTGCAAGCAAACAGGATGATTACTCATGATTTTGCATTTTGCCCTCATGTACCTTCTTGGAGAGGCCTCCAGAATTGGGAAGGAGTCAGGAGGGGATAGCTTCTTTGTTCCAATGGTGCTATATGAATGCCTAGTTTGGTGCCTGGCATATAGAGGCATTCAGTAAATATTTGCCAAGGGACCAGAGTAAGAAACTTAGAAAATACTGTCATTTAGTGACGAACCACTGCATAATTCCATATTGAATAATCATTTATACATAGTCACAACTAAGTATTATTAATTGATTTACTGATTTTTAAAATGCATTAATCCAGACAAAAGATATTTCAGTACTCCTCGTCAGATTGAGGAATTCAGCAATTAAGATTGTCTTTAATTTTTCATATTTTCAGCATGGTACACATTGGTAGAAAAAACAAAGGAATTGGCGCTAGGAAAGTGCTTCCACAGGAAGGATATTTTGGTAAAGAAGACCATTCTCGCTCCAATGAAGGTTGTTGGCCTTTATCATTTTAAGCCACAGGGTGTCACCTCAGAGTAAGATTTTTTTAAATGCCTTAACTTAGGAGACCTTGGCTATTAATCATGGGGTTGATTCTGTGTAGCACTAAAAACCATTTTATCAGAAGTATGAGTAAATAAATGTAATATAGACACCAAATTATTCTCTACAGCCTGTGCCCAAAATAAGTTCAGAAGCTCCTCAGATGGCAAAAGTCTTCAATTCTCATGGCTATGAAGACAGCTGTGTTCAGAAGCAAGAGTACACTCCTACCAGCCACCAGCAAAAGAGTTAGCATTCATTTGAGATCACTCTAGTTTCAGCCACGGTGTGTTTACTGCTTGTGTTCATTTTTGAAGTGCTGTGTGTACATAATTTTAACCCCTTTATGAGAATGTCAAAAAGTCCTGGTTAAAAGGGGCAGGCAGTTACCATGGAAACAAAGCTGAGCCAACTGCATCACTTAGGACCTGCATCCTTTAATGAGTGCACTGATTTCCCTAGGGGAGCCTGTTCTCTCTGGAGAGTCATTCCTTTGTTTCAGGTAAAGTACTTAACAAGATTGCCTCTTCAAAAAGAGTTTTCTATGCCAAATTATTTCCATGTCCCTGAAGTGGTCCATCTGGATGATCCCTGTTTAGTAGGTTCACAAATTCCAAGCAGCTCATTCAGGGGGCAACCAGCTTATTTACACAGTGTTTCTGGATTCGTCTCTCCATTGAAGATAAATATTGTCTGTTCCAGCAGATGCCCTGCTTTTCCACGGGTGGTGCATTAGCATGATAAATCGAAATTCAAGGCCAAGCTTTGAGCTGTTGCTACAAATATGTTGTCAGAAGAGAAAAAAAAAAAAAAAAAATCCGGAAGGGACAGAACAGGCAGCAAGGAAAGAAATGTAAAGAAACGTAGTAGTTGTTCATCGGTGCTTAACTGGGGCTGGCTGGAATCCTTTCTAAGTGGTTTCTTTGGGCCCTGACTGGGATATGGACACCATGTGAGATTCAAGCATGAGCTCCATTTGTTTTGAGGCTCGAAGAGGACAGTGCTGTGTCTGGATTCTTTCTTTGATTTTTAAAAATCATTTAGCCTTGAAACAGTGCAACTCCCTAGAAAATATCAACCCATACTTTCAAACAAATACACCTAAACTAAGAGCAGTGAGAAGAGATAGTGGCACTCTCAAAGCTGAGAGTTTTTCTTACGCTTTTCATTTTATTTTATTTTTATTAGAGAGGCTGGTTGTGGGCTCTTTCTTTTCCAAGTGAGAATGTGACCTCTACCGAAGTTTTCAGTTTATGAAAACTCTATTACAGCAAAGCAACTAAGTTGTCCCATGAAGGTCATCATTCATATATGATCCTTTTATCTATATATCTGGTATTATTAATTTAGTTCTTTCTGCATTTGGTCATTCTTTTCTCTCAATTAGATATTTATTATCTCTCTTGTTTTATCTCTCGTTTTGCTATTTCCTTTTTGTTTCTTTAATAGAAAATAATCTAAGTTGACATTTAAACCTAAGTTATTCATTTTTCTTAAAAATGTATCTTCTATTTTACCACAAGGCATGAACTATTTTAACATGGACTATTCTCTGTTTTGCATAATTTTAATAGCAAAATTCTTTTTCTTTTCCTTCTGTCACTTTGATGTTTATGACTGGTATTTCCTAATATGGTGCTATTTCTAAAAATTAGTATTTTACAGTTCCTCCCAAAAGGTAGTTTTAGAAGATTTTAAAATGCTAAATTTTATTAATTTCAATTTGTTATTTAGGTAGTAGGTATTTGGGTCTCTAAGGTTTTTGATATCCTGTATCTCTACCCTCACTGCTAGTATAAGATAATTAGAATACATTCTTGTTTTACTAATATCTTTTATTAGGATATAAGATAGATCTTATTTTGTAGAATCTTGGATATTCTGCAGCATTTACTCACTTATTCATTCTTTCATTCAGTGAATGTCTACTGATGTCTACTATTCACCAGCCACTTTCCTACGTGTTAGATATTGTAGTGAACAAAACAGATAGCATACCTGCCCTCACTGGACCTTACCTTCTAGTGGGGGAGACATAATACCCAAGAAAAGTGAAATGTGTAGTATATTATATTGTGATAGAGGCTAAGTAAAAATTAAGCAGGGAAGGGCATTTAAGAGCTGGAGGGTTGGGTTGAAATTTTAGTTTGGATGGCCAGGGGAAACCTTAGTGTAGTTATGAGGGGGTGGAGGGAGGATGCAAGTCAGAAGAGCGGCAGGTGCAAAGGCCCTGAGGTGAGAGTGGCCCAGGGCCTGAGGAGCTGGAAGGAGACCAGGGTAGAGCAGTGGAATGCAGAAGGGGAAACTTGCCTCTTTGCTTTCCCACCATCTGCCCACCATTTTGCCCAGCTCCCTGCACATAGTAACACTCAAATATTCATTGAGCAAATTCATGAAATTAGATTCCAGAACTTTCAGGGGGGAAATCTGTAGTGACTAGCTAGATGTGGGAGGAGAGAGGGAAGAGCAGATGTCTTCCCAGTTAAGTGTGTGTGGTGGGGAAGAAAGAGCAGCTGGGGTGGGGAGGAACGGAAAAGAGTGGGTTTTTTTGTTTTGTTTTGTTTTGTTTTTGCGGTACGCGGGCCTCTCACTGTTGTGGCCTCTCCCGTTGCGGAGCACAGGCTCCGGAGGCGCAGGCTCAGTGGCCATGGCTCATGGGCGTAGCTGCTCCGCAGCATGTGGGATCCTCCCGGACTGGGGCACGAACCCGTGTCCCCTGCATCGGCAGGCGGACTCCCAACCACTGCGCCACCAGGGAAGCCCCAAGAGTGGGTTTTGAGTGGAGATGTTGGGTAGGCAGTTGGAAACACAGGTTTGCTGCTTGAGAGAGCTCGGGCAAGAGAGGGATTTGGGGGATGACAGTTGAAGGGATGGGACTGATGAGCTCCTCCCGGGAGCTGGCCTTGGACAGTCTCGGTGTGGGGATGCAGAGAGGTATGGATGCTTTCTGTAGGTGGAGCCTCAGGCCTTGATGGCGGCAGAGAAAAGGATGGTAAAAAGCGGCCGTCGGGCCTGGTGCTAGTGCACTATTGGCAGTGATAAGATGCCACTGATAAGACAGAGGGCCCGGATGGGGTGAGGACATGTTTGGGGTGAACTGAACGTCAAAATAAAAGATATTGTACTTTTTATTTCCCTACCCCTATCTTTCCCCTCCCTTCCTCCCTCTCCCCACTGGTAACAGTTTCTTCTCCATATCTGTGAGTCTGTAAGACGTACAAACTATGAGGTATAAAATAAGCTACAAGGATATATTGTACAACATGGGGAATATAGCCAATATTTTATAATAACTATAAATGGAGTATAACGTTTAAAAATTGTGAATCATTGTATTGTACACCTGTAGCTTATCTCACATTGTACAGCAGCTATACTTCAAATTTTTTTAAAAAGAAAATGTTTAGTAAATGCTGAACTGAAAACAGAATCTGTATTTAAATCTCATCAGCGGAGGCTCTCAGTCACTTGAGCTAGCGAGGACCCAAGATGAGCTCCTTTATGAGGCAGCTGTCAGTTCGGTGCCGAAGCTCCTGTGTCACCAGCAGGTGGCGCCCTCCGCGGGGTGATCCGATGAGCTTCCAAGGGCCAGTCGGCCTGGAAACCTTGCCACCTTGCTCTTTAGCCCAGAGCCCTGGAAGTGGGTTTGATGCCAACCATTACTGCTTTTTTTTTGACGCAGGCTGTATCCTGCTCAGGGGAGTGTTCCTGAACGTTACTGAGCTCATCAAAGGGATGCACGTTCTCGTGGGTCCTCTTTCAGGCACCGGTAGACTGAGTGCTTTGATACTTGTGTTGTTCTTAGTCAACATGCCACATGATAAGCAATTTGTAACAAGTAGGGAATGAGTTTTGCTTGCTGCTCATCAAGGCTAGATACTAACTGGCGAAAAGAGAGCGAGATAAATTTAGGACCCAAGAAACGTGTGTGTGGTTATCAGTGAACTGCGCTTGCCTTCAGACAGAGCAGATGGTCATCTCACTAAGTGGAAACAGTCGCGACTGGAAGAAGGTGATGCTCCAGGATGCCTTTCCTCAGTGGCAGAAGAAACAGACTCGGCAGGTAACATTGTGCACCCAGCCAGCCGATCAAGCAAGAATGTGGCAAATGTGTAAGCACTGAATGTCCCAACGTGAATTACGAGGCAGTTACAGTTTTAAGATCGTAGTAGCTGCAGGACCCTGAAAACTAAGCACTTTGTCCTTTCAGAGACGAGTGCATTGCTGCACAAATTGTAGATAAAAGCCAGCACTATCCCCTCCTGGCAATTTGATTTCTGCCTCTTAACTCTTAGTGGCGATTTTCAGGGCCTAGGTCTCTGCTTTAGGTGATGATTATTAGCTAAATTTTTGAGTTAAAAATATCCACTCTGTACAAATGAAGGAGACTGATCTGAAGAGGCTGCATATGCTGCGTTGGCCTCCTCTGGATGAGTGACACTATGATACTTTGAAACAAAAGGCTCCAAGAAGGCAAATTTGGAAGCCCTAAGGTACTAGAGGGCTGTGGTTAAGAGCCAGGCAGCCTGGGTTCCAATCCTGGAGCTGTCAGTGTGAGCTTGCACCGGTTATGTGATATCCGTGTTAAAAGTGGGCATTAACAGTGCCTATCTCACTTGGATTTTGTGAGAATTAAATGAGTTGATACATACAAATCCCTTAGAACAGTGCCAGACCCCTCATGAGCCCTCGTAAAACTCTTTGGCACCCAGAAGCTGTTATGCCAGCATTGGCTCTAGAAATGCCCTACCCGTCACATCCTCCTAAAATCCTCTTACAACACCTCAGCCTGCTTCGTAGACATACTATCAGTTGCTCTGATTTAAAGTGCTGGGAATGTTTGGATGAAATGAGCACTTGCCAGAGAGTGAGTTTTAGTGGGAAGCAGCAGGAAGCATTCGCCGAGGACTCTTGACTCAAGCTGGCCTGGTGGGTCACGGCCAGAGTCAGTCCTGCTCAGTCACAGCCAGGCAGCCAGTGGGGCTTCTGTGGATTGCATCTGTGCTTCCAGATGACTGTCCACGCTCTGGGCAGCGGGTGGACTGAACACACCTGTTTTGAGACCTTTGTTAGTTTTATTTAATGTTCTATTCTTGTTCAGAAGGCATTTCTACCTCATCCTTAAAAGTTATTCCAGAGAACTTGAAAGGTTCTTCAATGATCACCACCTTTGAAAACTTCACTAGAGAACTGAAAAGAAAATACGAGGTAACGGTCCACTAAAAATGAAAAGCTAGCTCGCTATGTGTTTAAAGTAACAGGTTCATATTCATTAATACCATTGTTATCCTTCCTGTGTGAAGGTGTCCCTGAGTCTCTGGGGAGGTAGGTTTGTCTTAGCTGTGGTCACTGACTTTAGTGCCTTCGTGAATTGTGGTTTATATTTATAAGACAGCTATTCCATGTCCATTTGCTACCATGGGACCAGATGGACCTATATGGAAAGGTTTGGTTTTGTTGATTGCATTCTCAGAAAAACTGGACAACCAGGAAGCAGTGATTTGGTCACAGTGACAGACAAGAGAAGGTGGGGGGACCATGTGAATGAGAGAGGTGTCTGGGACAAAGAAGGAGGTGACCGTGGGCAGGTGGTCAGCTGAGTGGTGGCCAGTTGAGACACTGCACATACAGGCTGTCACAAAACCTTGCCTGCAAGGTGAACTTTGCAACCACTTCCATCCCCTCCATTTTGTCCTACTATATATAAATCCCTACTGAGTTATTTATTAGCACATTTGAGAAAAGTATCTTACCCTAACATAGATTCATTGAACTAACTTGGAAGATCTCCAATCTTATTTTCTGCAGTACCAGTGTAAGCTAATGTATCATGGAAATTTGTTCATGATATTCAATATGTGTATCAATAGCATGAATATAAATTTTACTATTTTTAGCTTATTGTCCTTTATGGGTATCAAACCTGAGATAATACACGAAGTGTGTGGCATGGTATCTTATTACAGTTCTTTAGTGATAATGTTTGCTGTGAATATTATGTGCAGGCAACATCTTTTTAATACAAAGCCCACACCCAATTTGGGTAGTTATGTTTAACCCAAACGTGCTCATTTTGTTATTGTATGGTTTAGCTTAGGTACAGAAGGAGCCCACTTTATTCAGAAACTGCAAAGCAAGCACCAGATTGCCTAATAAAACTTTTAAACCAGATACATCTGTGCAGGTAAGTGTTGGGTTCAAAACAAATTTATGGACTTGGGATCCCTCACAAACATTTCCAAGGGGAAAGAAGAGAAAGGAGACATATATTTTTAAGACAAGAACCGTCTAGAGAAAAATATTAAGTATCTTTGCAATAAGAGTAAGAAGGTCTTGTGTCACGTCCAAGCGGTCCCAGTGAAATTCGTTGCTTTTGTTTTTTTCAGACTGAATAAACTAGAACAGTTTCACACTTTTGTTCTTCAAGAGCTGAGCAATCTTGAGAAGGATATTGGGGGTCTGCAACGCCTTGAGGAGGATGTTCTGGTAAATTCTTTTTGTTTGGAACATTCTCTTTGACTTAAGAGGATCTGTTCCCGGGTAGAGTAACCGTCAATCACTTCAACCAACCAAACTTTTGTTCAATTTTAGGAATTTTGGGGGAAACAGTCTGATGATCTGAAATCATTCTGTGAACTGCAGCTGCTGAGGTATTTATTTATTTATTTAACAAGCATTCTTTCTAGAAGTATCTTAGTTGATACTAACCAGCCACTAACCAGCCACTTCCGTGGCACTCTCTGGGCACAGGGCGTGGCTTGGGATATCGCTCAGGAAGTATACATTTTGAAAAGCATAAACAGGACCATCCGAATTTCAGTGTTTTTTGATACAAAGTGTTTTCTTTTTAAGCAATATTTTAAAAAATTAAAATAGATTTTAAGAAAAATATAGAGGTTTCTGTGTGAACAGTTGATTTTCATTTAAACCGAATTGTGTTCTTGAAAGAACATATTCCATACACCTTATATATATGTAAATACTTTAAACATATATATGTATTTTCAAACAACACATGGGTTTATCTTGCTGCATGTTCCTTTCACTGTGATTAGTCAGTTATAATATGAGGCTGCTGCTTCTATCCATTTGGACCACTGTTCCTCTTTCTAGAGTGTAGGGAGTCAGGGAATGGAGAGTGGAGCCCTTCACTCCACTGCCTGTGCCCTGGGAGAAATTCTAGTGTTTTCTTCCTGCTTGAATCAAAAGGGATCCCTATATAAAATTATAATGGGTAAAGCTTTCTCTACCAGTTGAGCATCAGCTTTTATCATAGAAATGTAAGTCATGTGGTTTTAAAAAGGATATTATTCTTTTCTTCCTTTTAAAATATTTATTTATATTTGATAAATTTATATATATTTATTTATATTCATATATTTATTATATATGACCAGGGATCGAACCCTCGCCCCCCGCATTGGAAGCTCAGAGTCTTAACCACTGGTCCGCCAGGGAAGTCCCCAAAAGGGTATAATTCTGATCACATCATGTATTTCAAACCAGAACAACAAAAACTGTCAAAATTTGAGTTATCCATTCTGCTGTTTACTCCAGTTAACATAATGAATAATAATGGCAGCATAGTCTATAGATTTTCGAAGTTCTTTCATACACACATCGTCTTCCATGTACCATTATACATGATGAAAGTGGATATCCATTTAAAATCTCTTCACTGAATGCCCATGGTTGGTTATGAATGGTTCTCAAACTGGTTGGAATAAGATCTCCTAATACTTTTAAAATTTATTGAGGATCCCCAGAGAGCTTTTGCTTTGTGGGTTATATCTGTGAATATTTTCCACATTAAAAATTGAGTCTGAGTTTTTTAATGTATTTATTTAAAAATAACAGTAGTAAATCATTACATACTGATGTAAATAACAGACTTTTATGAAAAATCAGACTTTTCAAAACAAGAAATTTGAGAAGAGTAGCATTGTTTTATGTTTTTGCAAATCTCTTTAACGTCTGGCTTAATAGGAGACTTTATATATGCTTCTGGATTCAATCCGTTGTGACACCACACAACACGTGGCCCCTAGAAAACACCACTGAACATTTGTGAGAGAGGAAGAATGAAGAAAGCAAATAATGTCTTAGTACTAGTAACATTATTACCAAAATAGTTTTGACCTCACAGAATCTTTGGAAACATAGTCTCCTTAGGGGTCCCAAAGGTTCACACTAGAACTTTTTTTTTTTTTTTTTTTTTTTTTTCCTTGCGTTATGCGGGCCTCTCACTGTTGTGGCCCCTCCCATTTGCGGAGCACAGGCTCCGGACGCGCAGGCTCAGCGGCCATGGCTCACGGGCCCAGCCGCTCCGCGGCATGTGGGATCTTCCCGAAACGGGGCACGAACCCGCGTCTCCTGCAACGGCAGGCGGACTCTCAAGCACTGCGCCACCAGGGAAGCCCCACACTAGAACTTTGACATCTTTGAGAAACTGAAAGTTCTTGGATCATAGTAGTATAAGGGGGACAGTTACTTGAAATGAAGCTGGGAGCATGACCGGCTGTGACCATGTTTGTTTGTTTGTTTATTTATGGCTGCATTGGGTCTTCGTTGCGGTGCGCAGGCTTCATATTGTGGTGACTTCTCGTTGCGGAGCACGGGCTCTAGGCACGCGGGCTCAGCAGTTGTGGCACACGGGCTCTAGGCACGCAGACTTCAGTAGTTGTGGCTCGTGGGCTCTAGAGCGCAGGCTCAGTAGTTGTGGCACATGGGCTTTGTTGCTCCGCGGCATGTGGGATCTTCCCGGACCAGGGCTCGAACCCGTGTCCCCTGCATTGGCAGGTGGAGTGGAGTCTTAACCACTGGGCCACCAGGGAAGCCCTCTGTGACCATGCTGAGGAGTTTGAATTTTATACTAAGGGTGAAGGAAAATATGGGTGGGTTTGAGCAAAGGCATTGGGTGTGATGGTGATATAATCTGATGTATATTTTAAGAAAAATCTTTCTAGTTGCTATGCTGGAAATTGATTGGAAGAGGCAAGAGTAAGGGAGGAAAGCTTGACTGGAGGCCTTTGGAGAGAGTGAGAAATGGAGAGATTTCAGATACGTTTGGGAGCTGGAATTAGTAAATTACTGACAGATGGAAGCAGTAGGTAAAGGAAGGAGAGTTAGGGATACGCCTCCTGGGTTGCTGTTTTCTAGCAGTTGAATCGCGCTGCCACTCAGAGAAGGAAGACTGGGGAGGGTTGTGTGGTTGGAGCAGAACCTAGAGTCCATTTGTTAACATTTTAACTTTCAGTTGTCCACACACCTCCAAGTTTTGATGAGAACCTGGAAAAATGGACAGTTTTCCAGAAAAATACAATTTAGTAAAACAGACTTCTAAACAGATGTGAAAACGTAGGCAAATATTCATAGAAGAAATAAAGTTGTTAAAGAACTTCCCTACAGACATGTGTATGGTACAGATTGCGTCACACGGGAATTCTACCGGTCCTTTAAAGAGGGATAACTTCAGTGCTGTTGAAAGTATTCTAGCACATAGGAGAATAAAAATTCTCAAGTTTTAGAAAATGAATCTTGCTATTGCAATACCAAAACAAGAAAAATTGCAGAGAGACCCATGGAATAACTTCACTTATGATCACGGGTGGTACCATCAGAAGTCAGTCACATTTTAGTTAAAAGAAGGAGGCAAGGAGATATTTTTTTCCAGGAAGACGCTGAGGATTTGGGGGAATTTGTTGCCAAGAGATTGAGCTGTAGGGGCTAGAGAGGAAGAGCTCAGGAGGGTGGAGAAGGGTGGATTGGGGCAAACGAGGAGATGTACACCCAGCAGCTGGTGAGAAGGGATGACAGTGTGGGTGACAACGGCTGGCTTTTGGCAGGTACATTGCCACTGTGATCCCTAATGCTTCCCAGATGGGCCAGTAGCTCATGGGGCTACCACTCCAAAAGCTTTCTGGCAGTGTTGTCAGGCCCACCGAGTAAATAAATATGAAATGTGTAGAGCAACTGCCACCTCTTTTGTTTTTGGACACAGTCGCTTTAAGGACAGCCACCCTCCCACCCAGCTAGATTCTTCGAATACTATCTTGTTCATTCCTACAGCATTTAATAACAGGGCTTGTTGAGCAGATATCAACTTTGAGATTTTCTTCAAGCTAGAGGTTGGAATTAGATTCCCTAAGTAGACCATATCCAAATACATTTTAATAAGAATGCAATTTCATTTACCTTAAAGAATTTAGTATTTCTCTTTTGAAAAAGTGTGTTCCGTTTCATTTTATTTGAGAGTAAATGAAGTGGGTGATTTTCTAAAAACTCCTTCAGTGTCCAAAGTTGTGATTTGAGATTTCTGACACAGCAGTCATTCCACTTCTGGGAAATGACCTTAAAGATGAAATCGGACTGTGTAAAGACATGTAGACCAACATGTGTTACAAACTACTCTAATAGGGAGACATTGGAAGGTATCTAGATGCCCATCTAGTGTTTGGTTAGGTAGATTGATACATTCATGTGATATACCATGTTGCCATCAAAAAGAATGACTTAGATTATATTGAGTTGAAAGGTGTTCAACATGAGTAAAAAGTAAAAGCTTGTTGCAGAGCAGCTTCTATAACAAAATCCCACTTTTTTTTTTTTTAAAGATTGTAGCAATTTACACTTTTTAAAAATAAATTTATTTTATTTTTGGCTGCATTGGGTCTTCGTTGCTGCATGCGGGCTTTCTTTAGTTGTGGCGAGCGGGGGCTACTCTTTGTTGTGGTGCATGGGCTTCTCATTGCGGTGGCTTCTCTTGTTGTGGAGCACGGGCTCTAGGCGTGCAGGCTTCAGTACTTGTGGTGCGTGGGCTCAGGAGTTGTGGCTCACGGGCTCTAGAGCGCAGGCTCAGTAGCTGTGGCGCACAGGCTTAGTTGCTCCACGGCACGTGGGATCTTCCCAGACCAGGGCTCGAACCCGTGTCCCTCGCATTGGCGGGCAGATTCTTAACCACTGTGCCACCAGGGAAGCCCCCCATCTGTTTTTAATGTTAGATGAGGGTGCATATGTTCATATGTTCACTCACTCAATGAACTGTTGAGTCTTTTAGGTACCAGGTACTGTCTTAGATCCTGGGGGTAGCACAGCAGGCAAGAGGTCCTCAACCTCATAGGGAGTACATTCTAGTAGGAAGGTAGATGGTAAACAATTAAACAGATAAGCATTCACGATAGTGGTAAAGCTAAGAAGGAAAAAAGTGTGAGGTGAGAGAATCTGATAGTATGGAAAGAGGAGAATCAAGTCAAACCTTCCGAAGGAAGTGAAATTTGAGTTCAAACTTGATGGGTGAGATGGTGGAAGAGCGGGGGCAGGGGACTTGGGAGGAAATGGACAGGATGTCTGAGGCCGTAAGCAGCTTCGTATGTTCTAGGAATTCAGTGAGGGCCAAACAAAAGGAGCGAGGGTGTAGTGGTATAAGATGAGGTCAGAAGGCGGGTGTGTGGTGCTGGTGGTCACCTAGGGCCCTGCAGGCCACAGTAAGGACACCGGATTAGATTCTTAATTGCAATGAAAGGGATAAAAGTAAAGGACTGTCTGTTCTCAAGGGCGTGTGTGTGTGTTGGTGTGGGGAGTCAGATCAAGGTGCCGGGGCACATGGAGCCGGAAGGGTTGCTGGTGGGTTAGATGTGGTGGGTGGGGAAAC